GTGGTTGAACGTTACTTCTAGATTTTGGAATATGAATCGAGTTGTCAGTACGGGGATGAAGCGGTCCTCGAGCGGCCGTGTCAGTATGAGGATGCAAATCACTTCGTGTAGCCAACATGTTCTCCGGTTTTCGGACTCCCTGAGCCCTTGCAGTTGGTTGATTATTGAGAACTGATTGGGCAGTTGAATGGTTTGGAAGCATTGGCTTCTTTTTCATATCTCCTGGCTTCCTCCCTGGTTTACGCTTCATTCCCTGCATATCTTCATCATACTTAACAGTGTAAAGCTTTGCTTTTTTTATGGGTTTCGAGAGTGGCCTTGACGAGGCCTGTATCAGTGCTTTGCTAGCAATCTTTGACCTCTTGCTTTTCTCTGTCATCTCGTGAAACTTACACAAGACTAGACCATTTTTGGCTTTACCCGACATGCTGTAAATTGGCTTCCTGCACCCAGGTATTTCGCATTCCACGGCTGATGATCCACGCTCTGGCGAATGCTCTCTTGATGGCAGGCCATATTTCCTAGTACAATGACGGCAATACCAATCACTATTCACGTTTAGCGATCGCCGACCAGTGCGAGAAGAAATTGGCATACGTGACTTCAGCTCCAATTGTTGGACGTGGATTATGACAACTAGCATGCCATCGGGCTGAGCATTTCGAACAACGATACAAAGGATCGAGAGTGAGTTCTTCTAATTTACAATTCAAGCACCTTGTAACTTTGCTGATAGTTGAAAATGAAGCAATTGAACTCGACTCATCAAACTTATCTTCGGATGGAGCTTGCAACTAAGAAAAAATTAGCAAGTATTTGAATATGGCAGCCAGCCAAGATAGGAAGAGGGAATTGAATGTGTCTCAGGTCTTTTCAGTTTTATATAAAGTCGTCATATGACTTGCTTCAGCGGTTATGCATTGAGCTATACAACACTTATGTACGCCTCAACTGACTTTTACAGATGATCAAGGCCCTTTTTGCAGCAGGTTCAGCGCCACTTTCTATTGCAGCCTTTGGTCATACATCCTAGAGCAAGTTGATGTCTAACTCCGTATAGCAATAGTGTCAAAAGACATCAATATGTCCTTCAATTTTCAATGTTGAAGCTGATTGCCTTGAACTAAAACAGTCTTGCCTGAAATGGAGGACGCCGCCAGGGTTTGATAAATGCCAAAGGTAGTATCATCGGCCATAGCAAGGAAATAGTATAACCAAAGCAAAACCAGACGAAGCTTTTTTGAGCACTCAGACCTTTTACCAGATAGTCATCATTGACACGTTGATGAAGATTAAAAAGAAAGAGTTCCACATACACTGTCACTTCTTCTCATGGTTGAAAATGAATGTGATCTGACATTATTGTCGGAACTAGATGTTGGTCTAGATGGACCTGCCTGCTTGCCGTGAGAATCCATATTCTCTGGCAGAGACTATACAAAATACGACTAGAATAGCTCTAGCCAGGCATTCTTAGGTAAATCTTCTTCATCAGTGTGAATTTCCCCCCAAAAAATGAGCTATCGAGTCGGATGGATGATGTTGAGATGCAGTTTATGTGCAGTCAACATAAGTTACTAGGGAGGGTAGGTATACGTATAAAAAAGAAGACGCGACTTGCAACGGACCCACCAAAATTCAAAACGGCAAAATCCGATCATCGGCACGGACGTTATTTTTTCGAGAGACCCCGCAAAAATTATTTCTCGAATTCTTGCTTGTCAAATGTCAATCAAAACGTTTATATTCTTTCTCTCTCACTGATCAGCTTTCTTTTTTGTTCAGATATTTGAGCTCAACACGACCTCAGTCCAAGGCAACGAGATATCATTTATATTCTCGGGCGATTTGATCAAGAAGATTCAATTGCCTATCTGCACACGACAAATCTACTCTGCGCATACTAGGGGGAGGAAATCAAAAGGTTGTGGGGGTTTGACTCTACTCGGAACAAACTTAGGAAAAATTGAATGCAATTGCGTCAGATATACGAAGTATAGGAAAACAATTGTCACTTTACACCTTACCCCTTACGAACGGACGAACAGCGAATAGGGCGTAGCGAAACAGAAACGTGGGCTAGGAATTTCTTTGCGACAGCGAAATTTGAACCTAGTTAAGAATTTGTGGAAAGGTGCGATTGCGAACGATCCGAAGGGAACACAACAGAAGGAAGCAATAATCAAAACAATAAATAGAAAGGGAGAAGAAAAAATGGCGACGAATTCTATTAAGTTGCTTACGGGCAATAGCCACCCGCAATTGGCGAAGTTGGTTGCTGATAGGTGAGTTATTTTCCCTTTCTTGAAGTTGGGTCAGCAGGATGGAATAGATATGGTTATTATGGCGGACGGATGGGCTGGGTAGGGATGAGAACGCTTGGATTTGTATTTAGGACTTTGGTGCATTGGTCGGAGACGTTGTTAGAGTGCTGATCCGAATGGAGGAGGGATTATGCTAATGAGATTCGTGCGGCAGATTGGGTATTGAACTTGCAAAGACTATGAGCTTGAACTATTCAAATCAAGAAACCAGCGTCACAGTGGGAGAGAGTGTCAGAGATGAGGATGGTTAGTTCTTCTTGTCCCTCATCCTATTCACACTCGAAAGATTCTAAATATCCCTCACTAGTTTTCATCCTCCAATCCACTGCACCTGGCGATATTAACGATGGACTCATGGAACTGCTCATCATGATCAATGCCTGCAAAACCGCATCCGCACGCCGCATTACAGCTGTCATCCCCAACTTCCCATACGCACGTCAAGACAAGAAAGATAAATCCCGCGCTCCTATCTCGGCTAAACTTATCGCGAATATGTTGCAAACTGCCGGTTGTAATCATGTTATTACTATGGATTTACATGCAAGTCAGATTCAAGGGTTCTTCAATGTTCCAGTGGATAACTTGTATGCGGAGCCAAGTACTTTGAGGTGGATTAGAGAGAACTTGGAGGTTAGCAAGTGTGTGGTTGTTAGTCCGGATGCCGGTGGTGCTAAGAGGTAAGCCAATTTTTCATTCCTTGATTTTATCCGACGAATGTCCTGTGGATCAGCGAGATGCAGGTCGTGGGATGAGTAAAATTGATATGAAGTGGCATTTCCATAGTGAATCAGAGAAACTAACACTATTTCTAGAGCAACCTCCATAGCCGACCGTCTCGATCTCGGTTTTGCCCTCATCCACAAAGAGCGCGCCCGCCCTAACGAAGTATCCCGCATGGTCCTCGTCGGTGACGTCGTCGATAAAATCGCCATCCTTGTAGACGACATGGCCGATACTTGCGGAACCCTCGTCAAAGCTGCCGAGACAGTCATGGAACACGGCGCTAAAGAAGTCGTCGCCATCGTCACCCACGGTATCCTAAGCGGAGCTGCAATCGAAACCTTAAACAAGAGTAAATTGAGCAGAGTAGTAGTTACAAACACAGTACCACTCAGAGGAAAGGAGGAACAATGTGGGAGATTGAGGGTTATGGATATTAGTGCTACGTTAGCTGAGGCAATTAGGAGGACGCATAATGGCGAGAGTGTGAGCTTTTTGTTTACGCATGCACCTATGGACTAAGCGGGGTCTCGAGTTATCGGGAAGGAGTGAGGTGAGCAAAAAGTTTCTGGGTTACGTTCAGCGTTTGATGGGCAGGTAGATTTGGGTTGGGAATTGCAGCATCGATGAATTTTGTACTTAGACACCCGTCTGGAGGGGGAACTGGAAACCTGAAATCAGGAAAGCCCTTCCATATATAAATAGGCTCGCGGCAGCTAAGAAAGCATTGGATTAAATATTTTTCTTGTCTTATATGTGATTTGTTTGTCATGTGAGAAGGGAAGATAAATGACGTGTAAGCTTTTTGCTGTCTTGGTTACCGCATTGTACTTTTATGTGCCGAGTAAACGGCGGGTATGTGGGGGGAGCGTCTCGCGGCATGTGTACAAGGAAAGTAAGGAGATACTGTGGGGTGGGGGTTCGAAGAGGACTAAGGAAAGGAACTCGAAGGGAGCCGAGAAGATTTTAATGAGGACAACAACCAACTGCAATTATTTCACTGTTTAGGGCACATCAAAACATGTTAATAGCACATCATTGCATTCCAGAAACGCCTTCCTAAGTAGTAATATGCAGTCCATTTTAAATTGGTATCTAGCATCCTGGTATAATGCTTTTTTGTGATACACCTCTTGAACCCGGCTGAGGATTCATTCCACACGCCAATCATCCATAAAGACTACTATTTTACTCAACACATACCCTCTACTTACGCATAGAAGAAGCTCTGCGCTTGCGGGCATCAACCTTGGCGTGCTTGGCCTCAGAGACACGCTTGGCGAGGATAGCAGCGTATTCGTTCTGGAGAAAAAGATTAGCTGGTGAATCGAAGAGGAAAAATACCAGAGGAACTTACGGCAGCTTCCTTGGTACGCTCAGAGTTACGACGCTTGAGTGCGAGTCTATGACGCTTGTGTTGGAGACGTTGTGGGGTGACCAAACGTTGGATCTTTGGTGCCTTGGTGTAGACCTTCTTGCCCTCACCCTTTGGTTGAACCTCACGACGGATAACGAATTTACGGACCTAACCAAAATTTATCAGCATTTCGCTTTGGATTTACTTCTCACACTCTATCCTCAAGCACCAGCACGAAGCGGTTGAGAGAGATAGGCGATAGAATGATGTAGGGAAAACGTACATCATCCTCCTTGGTGAGCCCAAAGAACTTTCTAATCTTGGTGGCACGCTTGGGACCCAATCTCTTTGGGTGGACAACGTCGGTGACACCTGGAATGTCGCTCTCTCCTTGCTTAACAATGCTCAAGGCGAGAACGGACAAATCCATAGCGACGATGCATCCACGGACGGATTTACGCTTGCGCTCACCAGTTCGGCGTGGGCGGTAGCAAGAGTGACCCTCGGAAAGGAGAAGGCGGACACGGGTTGGGTGCATAACACCTTGCTTCATTGGGAAACCTTGCTTGTCGTTACCACCGGTAATCTTGAAGATGTATCCCTTGAACTCGTCTCCGACGGAGTCTCCTGGAACCTCAGCGCCCATTCTGTCGAGGAAATATTAGATTTTGTTGTTGTGTTCGATTTCGCGAAAGAAATACCTCTTGTCCATGAAGACACGGAGCTTGCGCTCGTCTTCAATATCGATGAGCTTTTGACTGCCATTGGCAGGCTGTAGGGTACTTTTGTCAGTTCGATTTTTTTGGTCGTGTGTTTTTGGATTGATCGAAACGTACGAATGAAATGTTCTATCAATCAAATATGTTAGCAGATGCTCAAGGAATCAATTACAAAGCAATAAGATACATACCAACTTCATCTTGACGGTGGTAAATGGTCAAGTGGTCGAGGTTGTCGTCGATAATTTGTCGCTGAGAGGAGTGAAGTCTTCTAGATTTTTGCAAAGTTGGAAATTCTCGGTGCGATACGCTAGTGCTCTTAGCGCGAAAAGTCCGATGTGGATCAACAACCGAGATCATGTGAGAAATTTAAGAATCGGATCGGTCAAACATTCTGCCATATTTATATCAATACCTCTGTAGAAACCCAGCTTTGGTGTTTATACTGTTGCTCAGAGTATAGAGATCAATACTTTAAAATTCCCAATCATGATACCACTTCACACTAGCGTTGAACGCCCTGTCATCACCACAAAAAATCCTCTACCGAAGCTTCTTCAAACGCCATCTGGATTGGCTTTGTTAGAGCTTCAGGGAACGATCAACCTTCCAGAACCAGACTTTGAGGATTATGAGCTGGCCAGACATTCAGAGTCTTCAGTGAAAAGTCTTCAAACTCCAATTGGCCGTCTCATCTTTCCAGAATATGACTCGGCAAATCCTGATAATACCAAGTGGATGAAGCGCGTTTACCTCTACGTAGGAAAGCATCAAAGGCTGACAGGTGAAGTCAAGAAGCTTCCGAAAGCTTACGCAGTTATTAGAAAGAAGGAAACTAGGCCGAATTCTTCAACGAATAGCGATATTTCAATGCAAGGTGTTGAGTCCGGTGCTAGGGACGAACTGGAAATTGTCGAAATTGTGAAGTGGAAGATTTTATTCTCGACAAGACCCGAACCAGTCGGAGCTATGGTTACTGGTGCTACTTGAATCTCGGAGCATCAATTGACTTTTACGAGAAGGAAGCAAGAGAACAACGTTTGCTTCTCCAATAGCCATGACTACGTACAATGATTGTTGAATAGGTTACCCGTGCTCGAGTTATCTCATGCCGCGGACTCCCCTGTCCCACAGTTATTGTTCAATGTTAGATTGATCTTGGTGTTCTGTGGTATATTGTCACTGACAGATAATCCGACGAGTTAATTGTGTCATCCGCCGAGCTCTTGCAACGATGCCTTGAGAGGAAATATATGATGAGAAGGCAGGCGCGTCTTCGATTTTAGTCTTACTGGATTTAGAGGCTGTTTGGAATTGCTGCATTCAGAGTTATGGATAATCTGGAATAATATGGAATTGTTCTAAGGGTAACAGCATTGTTCGGCCTCTTATCACCTTATACGTGAAACGGGGTCCGGTGAATAATCGAAGAGATATTCAAGTCCGCTTCGCATCCTGAGGCCTTGATATAGATATTGAAGCTAAGCCACACTCACAAGGACTTCTCTGAAGAAAGTAATGACTGTGATTCAGAAACAAATTGCTGAAAGCAACACATCAGCTGGTACTGAGTCATAAGAATTTAGCAGAAATTATTCAATCTTGAATCACAGTCACCCACATCAATTAAATTGAGCTATTTAAAGGTCTTTTGTCCTACCTCTTCCTTACTTTCAACCTGCAACTCAAATTCCAACTCAGCCTCCAACTCAACTTCAACCAAACATCCAACCCCGCCGGGATTTCAACTTCAACTCAAACATCTCTTCAGACCCAAACCATCAAACAAAAAAATCAACAGCGCAGCAGTACTTCAAATACCTCAATATTAAATTCATCTCCTTCATGCATCCTACCATTTTCCTATCCCTTCTTATGGGTGTCTGCCTAGGTGTTGCACATAGTTTCATGGAATCCGAAACCGAAATGCTTACAACAGCTCACCTCGAAAAATCCTCAATCACAGCCATACCAAATCTCCTCCTCCTCAGTGTCCAGAATATAGCTGTTCTAGCTACTCTCTCAGCATTTGGTATCTACACACCTGCTGTTATCGGTATCGGCATCATGACTAGTAATCTGCAAGCACACGCTTTGTCTGACTCAGGTGGTTTGAACTCTTCACCATCATGGGGGTCAAGCCCGCTCGATACCAGACGGAGACGAAGAGCACACCCAAGAGATATCTCTGCTGCAACTCCTCGTACCGAAGATGGAAGCTCATATCATGTGGCTGAAGTTCTGATCAGGAAGCTTGAGAAACTTGGCGGACAGTTAACTGGAAAGTATCCCAGATTCGAGAGCCCGGGGCATCTGCCAAACCTTGCTGCTTTGGGTAAAGAAAATCAAAAGAAAGATGAATCAACAGATATTGAGTCACATAATTCATTCACAAATTTGAATGATAAAACCCCGTTTCCAAACTCAGGTCTGCATACCAAACCTCCCAATTTTAATATCGCTAGTACTAATGTGCCATACTGCAGATCTCAAAAGCAGGCAAAACGACAATACTTTTCAAACTAAAGCCGCCTCGCTTGTCTCCAGAGGTTCGTGGAAAGTTTCATACATTGTTTTCTCCTAGCGGAAAAGGGGGATGGAGATGTACACTATTGTGTATAGATACTATGCTCCATGGCCCGACGATTTGGACAACCTAATACTGATACGTGCCATAGTATAGATGTTGAAACACACCCAAACGGTAATGGGCTCCAGTCTAGATTACTTGTTCCCCAAAGCCGCTGGCAAGATTTCATCCATCTGTGCTGGGGCCTAGGGACACATTATGACCCTGTCGCAAAGAATTGTGGCAGCGAATGATACTAATTGGATGGGTATAACGGTTTGGATATCTGTGGATAGCTTGCTTGGTGATCAGTTTGGGCATGGGAATAACTGGGGGGTTTCTTTCAATATGATTGTACTGCTGGACAGGGGCATGGATAGGGCGTGACGTTGACAATTCAGATACGACGTTTCTAGCATGGAGCTAAAGGCATATATATTTTACACTCGGTGTTCGATTGGTTGACTAGAACTTAGCCTCTCTATTTCTATAACTATTTTAACATAATTACAAGTTTCCATAAGACTGACTGTTTAAGACCTCAACGTGACATTGGATATTGAAATTAATCCATCTATTATACTGTTGATTTGTAGTTACTAGCCATGATACAGTTTACTTCTACCTTCACTAGGTAAGAATTCTACGTGATACGGTACTCCCTCACCAGACTGCTATTTGTTGGATCAATTCGCAACAAATGGCATGTCACATTTTGGGTTCGGATTCAAGTCGTATCATTGCGTCCCACAAGATCCAAAAATTCACACCACAACTATTTTCTTGATCAATACATCAGGAACTTTAAATGGACGGGATACTCAGTCGAAAAATGGCCGCTACAGGCCTTTCTACTGGTAATCTTACAACAGGAAATGCAATCAATACTAGGTACTCAAAGGACAACCCAACAACATCCTCCAGCCAAAACTTTCCATCGTTTCTACAACTTCCCACCAGAGCTTCGCTGTATGGTATAAAGTATCACGCAAGAAAAAAACGAAGAAAACCCCGGAAAAGTTAGTACTCTCACCATCATAGCCAAATATACGGGGGGGAATCCCGCAAACAATCATCGCAGTACTCACGTTTCGCAGCTATATATGCCATCGTATGGCTCTCATGACAACTGCGAATACTCATAAGTCCTACCTTTGACAAGAAAACAACTTTCCCATGGACTGCGCAACCACAAACAAGTCAATCCTGCAAAATCCCAGCTAATTATTTGTATATCAATCGAGAACCTAAATATATTGGCGAGAGAATTCGAATATACTCGAAAAACCATTTCCTCATGCTGACTCCCCGAGATGGAACACCGCGTTGTTTTCAAAAGGCCAAAAAACAGGAGATCTGTAGAATGATAAATACTATATCATGTTACCCTTCTCGTACTTCTGCCCTTACCTTCCATACTCTGCAAGTTCAATCTGAATATTCTCTTATATTATCTAAAGCAAATCCTCATCCCGAAACCTTTTGGCCTCGCCAACAAGTTAAAAATTAAATTTGACCTTGCTGAGTTTTGAAGAAATCTTTGCAGTCACCCATAGATGCTTCAAAAACCAGAAACTTGTCATGACTCATTCTATGTATTGAAAATTCCCAAAAAGAAAGAGCCTAATCTTTTAGTTCGAACTTCGTTCCATCTCATTATTCGGCTCTAACTCACATTCTCCCTCCACTGGAAATTGTATATGTCCAGCTTTAACTCTGATGTTTTGCTCCATCTACATCTTTTTACATCTATCTTTTTAAAAGAGGCTTCATAAGATACGAAGGCGTAAGGAAGCCTTTCATGTGGAGTTTCTCTGATGTATGCCTTGTATTTTTGATCCGTTCATTGAGGAAGCAGTTTTGTTTTTATTTTCGTTTTTGGATTTGGCTTACTGGTTTTGGTTGTGAGATGGATTAGGACTTAGTTGTGAACTAAATGTAAGCTGGTGACTTTTGTCGGTCTGTCAGTTCGGAATTAGCGGTTATTGTGATTTCTTACAGTAATGCGGAGAGGATTGGTCCATAGATAATCCCATTGATATATCGATTTATTGTAACAATAATTATAGAGGTTAGATATTGCTGCACACTTGGGTTTCTTTTCTATCTGGCGAAGACCAGATTATAGTTAGGTATTAATCATAACCATTTTTGGTTATAAATTTACTCAGTATTTATTCGCTACACTAGTATTTTGAACGATATAAAAAGATATTCTCGATGTCATAGTTGCAATTGTTCGGATTATATTTAAATACTCGGAATTGGGTTAGATATATAATGGAAGATTGGAATAGTATTAAACAATAAAGTGATCCTAACCGGTAAATTAAGGTAATGAGATCTTAATCTTACAACTCAATACTGCAAATAGATTCAACAATGAATAACCCCCTGGACATTTGAGTTTGTTGAAGGATGAGTACCAACACTGATGCCAGTTTACATACATGTAAGCACTGACTAACCCGCCATATCTAACGTTTTGGGATGTGTTGTTTTGATGGCAAAAGTTTGGTTAGATCACAGCCGTCCTAGACATATGAGACGTAATTCCTGCGTGTCATGATACTCATCCAGGACATTTGGTAGCCTGGCTTGTCTTCCAGGTTTACAGAACCATGCTGAAAATTTGCCAACCAGGCTTGAAATAGGAGGTTAGAGAAGAGTAGTCAATTTTCTCGTAGTCTTCTTAAGCGCTAAGCCGTAATGATTGAGTAAGGTTGACTTTCTCTGAGTCCGTGACGCGAAATGGGAAATCATGGTATTATGGCTGACTGACATGTATATTCGGCCATCACTAGAACTGCAGCATCAAGGCTACATTTCTTCATCGTCGCCTCCGTCGACAAATTAACGAGCTCTTTACTGTGGACGCATGGTTCTCAACTTTCAAGTGAAATCCAGAGCCGTCTTCCCTTCAAAAGTTTTTGTTTGGAGATCCACATCAACATCGATGAGAGCTTTTACACTATCCTAACAACAGCCAACCCCCCCAAAACGGCTTTGTGCAATACAATGCAGCTTCACTACTTGCCTTTGGCTTGGATGTTAGCCCCAGCCTTCATCACAACTTTCATACCAGAAGGATGTAGGATGGAATAGATGATAACTACTAACATCCGTACTATGACGAATAAGTTCCTCGGCAATGATGGCATTATCTTGCGGATTGAGCTGGCGACATGAAGTGGTGCCGTACCCGAGTGAGCATTCGTAGTAGTATGGACTTTCGCTCCTGGTGCTAGCAAGGTTTTTACATCTTCAGTGTTTCCAGATGTGCTTGCCATGAATAGGGCAGTATTTTCGCGAAACCCGCGCATCGACATCTACCTCCTTTCTATCAATAAATCGATGGTTCCTGGAAGGTTGCCACGATTGATTTCAACAACTGGATACATTTTAAACTGTGTAATGCGTTTACACGGGCTCCAATCTTTATCATAGCTCTGATCATTTCTTCATGGTCGCGACTGATGGCTATGATGAGTGCCGTTTTATTGAAATTCTCTTCAAGTGGAACTTCAATCAAAGAGGGCTTGGCAGAAACAAGCTGTTTCACAATTTCAGTATAACCTCCCAATGAAGCCTTGTGAAGTGAATTATCTCCGCGATAATCTTTAGCCAAAAAGTCTGGCTTGGAGGCGACGACACCTGAAGCTACAGACAAATGGCCCATTTCTGCTGCCATAAACAGAGGCGTGAAATCCTTAGAACAGGTTGCCTCAATGTCTGCCCCTGACTTGACAATTATGCCGATGATTATTGGTAATTGAAACATGGCAACAGCTACGATTGAAGGGGAAAGTTCGATCGTATTGCGTATCCCGAACGCGACCATAGCCGCAAGTGCGCAATTTGCGAGTATTTCTTGGTTGAAAAAATACAGTATATGGTCCGTAAGTTCTATTTCTGCCGTGCCTTCAGCATGTGCGCATAAGTACGGGCTTACATACGACAACAGACCGTACTGTCTAAGCAGAGTTTTGATGACCTCGCGATCCGGATTTTCTGGTTCCTTGAAATCGTCCAAAGACGAATACCTAATGCAAGCCCGAGTGATCAAGATATCAGCATCGGCAAAGAACTTTGAGCGATGGCGCTCCAAGTATTCTTGAAGAGTATAGTGACACAGACGGATAATACCACTCTCTGGGTCGACTACCACTAGACCGGCACAGACTGTTAAGAGCAAGTCTTGTTCGTAAAAATCCTCTTCATCTAATTCGTCCTCATCAGGATCGAGTTCCATGATAGCGATGGCATGCTGGAGCTCGCGAACTGTCAAGATTCTCTTTGCACAAGACAGCCACATTAAAATATTCATAGCCAAGTTTTTACGATTCTTGTCTTGTCCTTCCATGATTCTCTTCATGGCATCATCATAGGAGCTGTCTAGGATATTTGGCAGGCTAGTCAATGCTTTTTTAATACGGCTGATTTTAAGTTCTGAAGCAATAGCTTCTATGTGTAAATGGGCAAGAAGGAACCTAGCCAACAAATCAGTATATGACATGGAGATGGGGAGTCCTACTCAACGAACATTCCATGAGCCTTCTCCGCGATTTTTCCTACAATTGTCTCCCGTAGGGCCGGATCCTTCTTGCAAAATTTGAGGATATTCTCCTCGGTATCTATACGAGCTTCCAGATAAGCTCGCACATCATGGTCGCTAGCTCGAATTTCGAGATGTGGACAATCAGACAACTTATCTTCAATATCCCCTAGACGACGTGACGTAAGGAGGAGGTTTGTATTTGAAGGCAGATTCCGTAATTCACGAATGAGGTTTGACCTTGTTTTCTTGGTTTCATCACATTCGTCCAAGGCATCGACGACTATATACAAGCGGGGGAACTCAGACGTTAATAAATGAAGTAGGTGTACAGCCTCGGCGCTCGTCAGGTTTGTTCCATTAGACCTATGTTTGCGATATAAGTCAAGAACATAATCCGGAATTACGTATCCTTGTCGGACAAGCTGCTGTACAATGCTCGCGAGATATTCGGCAATCGTTGTTTTCTCTGCGTAGTTACAATAGATGAATGCCACGCCCACATTCGAGGATGAAAACTTTGTTTCCAAATTGTCGACAATGGCGGAAGCAAGGACTGTTTTGCCCGCTCCAGGTGAACCTGAGCACCACAGTAATCTATCCTTTCCATCTAGCCAATTTTGATATTTCTGGCTTTCAAAGAGCCACTCGCCGGTACCTTGGTGTCTTCGACTGAGTATTTCGCGTTGCTTGGAGTGACAGTCAATTGTAGACAGCCAATTCAGGACTTGGATACTTTCTTTATCCATTTGTTGAGTGATGATAGCATCTAACCCGCTACTAATCATTGTGACTTGTTTCGAAATATCAGCAACTCTCCCCGCCGTGGTCGAGGCCGTGGACCTAGCTAATCATTAGGATGTGCTTGAGTCTTGGGAATTCGACGCATACAAATTTAAAATATCCATAGCAAAGACCAGATTACTCCTCATGTGTTCGATGTTCTCTTGTAATCTCATTAATGTACTCTTCCTGAATGGATAGAGAATTCTTCTTCCTTGTTCTGTCATCCTGTCCCTAAATCCATTGTTATCATGGCTGTTCGTTGCCACCAAATTATTTCTCTCTACCACTGAAGGTTTGCAAATCATGACCTTCTTTAATTCATCCTGCAATTCTGTGATACTGTCTTCGCAGTCCAAAACCTTAGACTCCACAGTTTTGGCCATTAACTTATCGAAAGTAGGACTCTGTAAGGTGGCCTTTAATATAGCAAAGTTGGTCGAAAGACTTTCCATGGATTTAATCATGTCGGCATTTTCCTTTTTGCTACCTTTCCAGGCATTATAATAATTAACAAGCCCCTCGCAAACTTGTATCCCAGCGGATAGGATACCAGCAATATTGCTGATTGCCCCTATTGCTTCCATAGCTCTTACGAGTCTAATACAAGCACGGAAGCACTATATTCTCGACAATATATGGCTGTGCAATGTACAAATCGAATACGAGATTGATTTCGTGGAGTAAGACCAAGGGTCAAGAGAATAAGAGTATTGAATTCAGTCCCAATTAAAAAATTGGTATAAGAATCGAAAGATATATGGACAAAACAACGAAAAATTCAAAGTGCGCTCTTTACTTAAAGATATATATTAAAAGCTAGACGCAAATGTCATGTGCGGCTGACAGGAATACACGTTTCACAGAGAGGTTCGAATTCCAAAGAAGGAAATGGAAATCAATCGTAAGATGTCATAGAATAAAACCTTGGGATACCTAATGGAAGCTATCATGCCACAGAACACCTACCTGTATAGTCAAATGCGGTTCTCGTCGGTATCAAATTGTGGCAGAGTGAGCATCTTGCAGGAGGCTGTGAAGTGTGGATGGAGCTCAGCCAGAACTCTTCGACTCCGGAAATGCATCATTTCTGGATGTGTGGCGATGTCAAGCCATAAGCTCAGCGATAGAACAATTATGTGCAACGATGTCTCTTGATTGAATCGAGTAACCTCAGAGTTGAGTTTGAATCTCGGCGGACTCTACGCCGACAATTCTGAAGTCGCTGGTCCACTGAAGTTTATAGTGTGATTGGCCCTTCATCGCTGCCAAAATAGCCATCACTAGAAAATCACTAGGGTAATGTGCGGAGTATGATTCATGATTCATAGTAAAATTTTGTAGAGAAAATCCCCGGTATAGGATAGATCTCATATGTAAAGACAGAAAAATAAACTGTAGCTGAACCTATAAAAATGAAACGATCTAAAAATCAAACAATGTACGAAAGATAGAACTTATAGCAAGCAATAGGTTAATAAACAAACACTTTGTCGATGTAGTCACGTGCACAGTGTATTTTACCCCAGATTTCTCCATTCCGGGAAGCGGTTGGCATGTGAAGATGCGCCGAGGACAAACCCCAGGAAACATCAGCGCATGTAACGATGAACGATGGCAACATTTGCAAATGCACAACAACGAAAATACACTTGAGAGCCATCTAAGTTCTTGATCAGTCCTTCACTGCATCTACTCATGAAGCCTTTATATCTGCAGACTCGCTGAGCTGCTCATAACAGTATCCCGGAGTCTGTTTTACAAAGCTTATTATAATGGCTGCGCAATCTAAAATCGGTTTCCTGCCACCGGATAGAACGATCAAGAGTATAATATCTGACCTCACATCATTATACCTCAAACATCGAACAAAGATCTCTCGGACGGTTTATTTGACATTATTCTTCGCTCTTCTCAATCGCATACGATCTGCCATTTCCGAACAAAAGGCTGCAGCCATTCGTCATGCAGAATCGCGAAGAAGAGGTCCGGTTGCACTGGGAAATGGCGCGCAAGGAACTGAAAGAAAAAAGGTCGAGTTGAATAGAGAATTTTTCAAGAATCTGATCCGGCTTTTGAAGATATGTATTCCCGGATGGAGGAGTAAGGAGATGCGATTGCTTGTCAGTCACAGTATCTTCCTTGTCATCAGAACTCTGATCAGTTTGAAAGTTGCAGCCATGGATGGTGCACTGGTTTCAAGTCTGGTACGAGGAAAAGGAAAAGACTTTTTGATTGGCATTGTATGGTGGATGTTGATCGCGGTTCCTGCAACGTTCACGAATTCTATGGTATGTACCACATGACCCCTTCTGCTGTGATTAAGCTAATATATGACATCTATAGCTTTCATATCATCAGTGTAAACTTGCGCTTCAATACCGAACACGATTAACGAATTATATCCACGATAGATACTTGTCGAATATGACATTTTACTCCCTCTCTGCTCTCGATGATCGAATAAAGAATGCAGATCAATTAATAACTGTGGATGTATCAAAATTTGCGAATAGTCTGGCGGAATTATATGGAAATCTCGCAAAACCAGCATTAGATATGGCAATATACAACTATTCTCTTTCCAAAAGTGTTGGTGGCGAGGGGCTTCTTTTTATGTCGCTACTGGTACAACTTTCAGCAAATGTTATGAGAGCATTGACTCCTCCTTTTGGCAAATATGTGGCAGATGAAGCAAGATTAGAAGGAGAATTCCGATTTCAACATTCGAGATTGATAGATTATAGTGAGGAGGTCGCATTGTATAACGGGCACGAAGCGGAAAAGGATACTTTGGATAAAGGCTACTTTACACTCATAAAACATGTAAACTGTGAGTATCGCCTTGCTTTGATCTCTGACATTCAACTAATGTCGTCATAGATATTTTGAGACGAAGGTTCACACATGGGATAATGGAGGTAAATAACGTGACACCGTTTCCGGGAGCGGAGCTAACTGCTATAGGATTTCGTTATCAAATACGTATGGGGAGCTCTAGGACTTATTCTATGTAGTGTCCCGGTATTTTTTAAGGTACCAGGTGCAAGTTCAGCAAGTATGGGTGATAGAACAGAAAGCTTCGTAACCAATCGAAGATTATTACTTTCTAGTTCGGATGCCTTCGGTCGAGTAATGTTCTCCTACAAGGAGGTTACTGAATTAGCCGGCTATACCTCACGAGTTGCAACACTCTTGGAAGTTATGGATGAGATCAAGGCTGGACGATTCGTTAAAACTTTGGTATCTGAGGACAATTCTGGTGAACAATTGGAATTGATGAGAGGAAGAGGTACTGTGATTGAAAGTGAGGACATTGAATTTGTTGATGTGTATGTTCTATTCAAGCCTAATTTTTACAATTGCTAACCATTCTTAGGCCAATCATCACTCCTGGTGGAAGTATTCTCGTCCGAAAACTATCCTTTTCCATGAAACGTGGGGATCACGTTCTAGTAGTCGGACCAAACGGATGTGGTAAATCTTCCTTATTCCGCATTCTGGGAGGTTTATGGCCCGTATATGGCGGTATTGTCCGCAAACCACCCCTTTCCCAAGTTTTCTACGTTCCCCAACGACCATACCTTAGCGCCGGATCTCTTCGGCAACAAATCATTTACCCTGACTCTCTTCGTACCATGCGCAGTAAAGGTATAACCGATTCTGACCTTCTTGCTATCCTCTCCATCCTCGATCTTGATCACCTCGTTACAACTTTCCCCAATGGTTGGGACGCCGAAGCTGAATGGCGCGATGTGTTATCTGGAGGACTTCAACAACGTGTAGCTATGGCTCGCCTCTTCTATAATCGACCAAAATATGCCATTCTAGATGAATGCACCAGTAGCGTCACTCTAGAAATGGAAAAAATCATGTACGAACATGCGAAGGCACTAGATATTACATTGATGACGGTCAGTCATCGTAGAAGTTTATGGAAATATCATAGTAAGATATTACAATTTGATGGACAGGGAAAATACATTTTTACAGGATTAGATGCAGAGAAGAGATTGAAATTGGAGGATGAAAAGGAAGAGTTGGAGGCTCATTTGAGAGCTATGCCGGAGGTTAGGAGGAGATTTGATGAACTGATGTTAGGAAGGGGTGAGTAAGGAGTTGTGAAGACGAGAATATACAAGTCTTATGTTGCTTTATACCAATTTATTTATCCATGTGTTTCTATGTTCCCAAAACTCGGTTTTCGTAATACGACCACTGTACTTCTATCTTATATTTTTTGACCTCATCATTTAGAATTCAGATTCGTTGAAAAATATAATCCCGTAACCTTAATCTATAATATATAGTGATTTTCCAACATTAAACCAGCCAAGCTTTATCTTTTCAGCTAATTATCTGGTGATCCTCCTCCTCCTCTGTATATACTAGATAAGTATTCTCAAATATTATTGTAATCTTGAATTTTATAAATCATCATTCTAATACCCAGGTATCTAGGTACATATATATAAGATTTCCTAGAAAATTTATATAATCTTACAAATATTAAATATTAAAATAATCAGCTCCTGATTACATGTAGTAGATAATATGGCCGGATTGATAGAATAAAAATATCACCTGTAAGTCTTTCTAGAGTGGAGTTTCGGGTATGGATTTTTTGGTTTGGTTTTCGTTGTGATTTATATTTATGTGTGTGTGTGTATGACATCTATAACATCTATGATTCTATAATTCATAATAGATCTCAAATATTCCTATCCCGAGATATAAATTACACATTTCCAATACCAAATACCAATACATCGATATTCATCCAGCTCCAACTCCAGCCCCGAAATAACCTTAACTAGGGATCCTCCCTTGTTTTCACTCATCCATCCTGCCTACTAGGTATCCTTATATATATATACATATACATATGCATATACCCGAGTGATATATAGTTACATACATACCAAATAATTCCAAACCCGAACTCTACAGATCAATCTTCCACCTATCTTCCTCCCCCTCCACTTCGTCCTTAACTCTACCCTCATAACCACTTTTTCCATTCCCACTCTCCCTCTTCCCCTCAGAATCAATTTTAATACCCGTATGCATTTGCGCACTTAAAGGTATCTGTGAACATTCCCTCAATATCTCTTTTCCTGTTTCGTCGATGCTAATACCATAGTATATCCATGTTGCTGTGTATGTGAATGAAACTTTTTGGGGTTTGGGTTTGTTTTGGATTCCATTTTCATTTTCATTTTCTCCTTCTCCTTCACCCTCCTCCTCTCCAGGATACAAAGAAGAAGAAGAAGGAAAAACCACATCCGAAGGTCCCAATCTCCTCTTCTCCCTCCCTTTTAAAGAATCCAAAGCCACTCCACCTCGTACCCTAGGAATCTCCCCCCTCATCCCCAATTTCCCCCATCCCATCCCTTTCATCTCCTCGCTTACCCCTCTATTAACTAACCCCAACATTCCCAAAAACATCTTCCATTCTTCTTTAGAAATATCTGAAACTCCTGCTTTTGTGGAGGGTGTGATGGAGATGTAGAGGGTGGTTTTGAAGGAGGTGGTTTTTTGTGTGCTGGGTTGGGTGCTGGTTGTGGAGAGGGTGTATGTATCTTGATTTTGGTTTTGGGGAGAAGTAGAGGGAGATGAGGAGGAGGAAGAGGATGATGAAGAGCCAGGTGAAAATGTGTAATAGGGAGAGGAAGTGGGACCGTTAGGGTAGAGGAGATGGAGATTGGAGAGGAGGTTGTTGGTTAAGCTTGTCCGGGATTGATGGAGTTGTGGACAGGTGGAGGATAGGGTGAAGGGGATTGGGAGGGGTGAGGAGGAGGATGATGAAGAGGATGAGAAAGAAGGTGGATAGAAGTTAAGGATTCCGGCGTGAGAGGGATGGAGATATGTGGTAGTATAGAGGTTAAGAGGAGTTTGTGGTTGATTGGAATTAGAGAGGGCTATAAGGAAACGAGTTAGTTTTTGTTTTGTTTCTTCTGAAAGGGAGAAATGAAGAAGTAGGAGGCAGGAGGATCAGAAACCACATAAACTTACTTTCTGATGAACCGGGTGTTAGATATTGTGTAGGATATGCATCTATCAAAGCGATCAAACTGGCCAGCAGCGAGAAAGCAGATATTGACATATGCGAATACATGGCTATTTCCCTTGGTATGAATTCCTCTAATTCTGGGGAAATTGAAAATCAGGTAATAATAGTAAATCCAAATTCTTCTAATTCTCGTAAATCCAGAGGAAAAGATAAAGAAGTAAGTAAATAAAAAAGAAAGAAAAGCAGAAAGGGTATCAATCAATAAACCAAAAAACAACAAAAACAACAAAAATCTTTCAAATTTAAAAATGAATCCAAAAACTCGACACTAGAATCAAACAAATCAAAATCCCACAAGTTCAGTCAATCATTTTCTTTTCCATCTTTTTTCCTCCTTATATATATATATATAAATACCTCACCTACCTTCCCCATCTCCTCTAACCATTTAATAAACCCTGCGCTCATCAATCAATCACCTCCTCACCTACCTAGGTATCTATTATAGCAATGCGTCCTCACCACGCCCCAAATCCCTTTCTCAAGCATGCATATGCATATCACCAACATACACCAACATACACCAACATACACCAACATACACCATCATCTATTCATCTATCCATCCATTCAAAAAAGCAATCAACTAACCAACCAACCAAAAACCAGATTCAGAAACTTAAGATACCTACTCGAGTACCTACCTACCTATCGATAAGCGCTTAATATCAACCCCATACATATTGCGCTATGCATGCATGTATGTACTATGTATGTATGTATGTATTGCGATGTACTATAATATAAATAGCTACATAGCCTATCTAATATTCCCTCATACTCCCTACCTACACACGAAGTACTCCGTATCCATATAAAAAAGCACCCCAGTCTATAAATACTGTACCAGTCCAGTATAAGAACACATACTAATGGAATTGTTTCACAATAGACGCTTGCTTGGTAAAGTTAACCTCACCATACAGAGTACCTACCTTGATATAGTTTTATCAGCGCTTAAATCATCTGACCAATTATCTATTCATTACCCATTACAAAATACTGCGTACTGCATACGGCATACTGAATACTGCGTACTGCGTACTCCATCCCAAATCAAAAAGAATACAGAAACAGAATAATCACTAGATAAATAGCCTAAGTTACCTTAACACAGAATTAGATACCCATATCCATACCCATATAAAAATATACATACTCCTCTCACCCATTTCAAGCCAAAAAATTTAAATCACCATCTATCGCATCCAAACCAATATCATAATATCATACCAATACTCTACCTTAGAATTTCATCCCCTTAGATACTTAAATACCGACAAGTACCGAGGTTATTTCCTCCCAACTCACATTCATTCATTCATTCATTCATTCATTCATCTTATGAATACCGAGTCTACCAGCTAACACAATTCCAATGCATCTCAAATTACTATACTATACTATACAGTACTACCTAATATATATGGACAACGTAATCATGAATTCCTCATTCATCCACTAAGTACCTATCTAATATAAGACTTGATGTCGCTCTCAGCTTTACCGCTTCATACCCGTAAGCTCTTTTGGTTTTTAATATGTAAAAAACCTCTTCTACTACGATTCCTACGATTCTTCATCTTTCTTCCTTCGCTCTCAATCAAAACTCGCTGTTTGGTATCTCTTTGCTCTCAAAGGCTCAAGTCCTTTTCTCAATTCATATACACTCCATCCAAGCAAAAGCATAATACAAGAAAAAGTCTTTCAAGTCGAAGCCCAACCCATTTTTCACTACCAACTTCACAAAGTCCCTCATCTCCAACGCTCAAGATATCACTCATCCGCCTGAGTCCATATTTAACATATGCACATGAAACCAAAACCAAAGAAAGAGCGACAAAAAAACAATGTGTAAACATTTCCGAATGTAACACAAAGTCCAAAGAGAAATCAAATCAAGGTAACGCCAAATCGCTATGCATCCAAAAACTGGGCGAAAATCATAGTGTAGACGAAAGTTGCTAGCCCATTTAGAAGATTGATCGTATGGCTGAAAGTAAACAATGGCATCGTTATTAAAGATTTATTTATCGTCTACAACTAGGGAGAATATTAGCAGTTATCAATGAAAGTATAGAAATGAGTTACTTACCAACAGTAGTTGTAGTGTCTGGAACAGGGTCTTCATGCTTCGCAACACTACCTTTACCACGCCAAGTACTGACAGCAGGGATTTGTGCATCATAACGGACTTCTTGTGTACCATAAGCACGAGGGGTGAGCTTAATGAGGGTATGGAGAGGTACGGCCATCCATGGTGATTCATCTTGAGGCTTCTTCATGAAGTAAGCGTAGATACAACTAGATAGGGGTTAGCAGGTTGTATGCATGTAAACGAATAAACCTTACCGAAGAACAGCTTGATGGGTAACAATCAAAATATCCTCTGATCGCTCTAATTCCATGATAATAGGTTCTAGTCGAATAACAACATCACGATAAGATTCTCCACCGCGGTATCTGTAATTGTATTTATCCTCATCACGGGCCTCAAAGTCATCTGGGTATTGCTCCTTGATATCTTGATAAGTAAGTCCATCACAAACCCCAGAGTTTAGTTCATCCAGAGCCTTCCATTGAAGCTGATTATATTCATTAGGAAGGTGACGAGCTGTGGCGATGGTGCGACGAAGGGTTGAAGTCCAGACAGTCAATGGGCGATTGTCCTATTTAAATTAGTCATGGGATATCAACTAAATCTCGATGGAAAAGTACGTACCCCTACTGATTCTAGAACCAATGCAGGTAATTTCTTGGCATACATCTCCCCGCGAGGAGATAACTCGGCATCACCACCAATCTTTCCCTCAAGGTTGTACATCGACTCTCCATGCTATATAAATTTAGCAAAATGAGATTCATGATATCCAATGGTTACTTACTCGTGACAACCAAATAGATCTCGGCTTAATGTGCAAATTCATCAAGTAATAGACCACACGACTTTGAAGATAGTCTTGAATTCGATTGATGATGACTTGTTTTCCGACGTTCATAATCTTCAGATAGGTGAGATCACTCTCATCATCGTCAATTGTCTCATAGACCTTCTCGTAGTTCTTGATCCTATTTCTAAAGTCTTGGGCGGCTTTCTCCGGGTCTGAACCAGCGTAGTCTGGGGATGTCGTTTTTACTTCTAGAATGTTTGACATTATCAAGTCCTCGTCGTCACATTTTGATTCGACAAAAAGGGTCTCGATCCCTTCGGCATCACAACGATCTTTGATCCATCTACGGCGCTCTTTTGTACTATTTGTAGCATCGAGAATGGCAACAATTCCCTGCTTATTCTTAAACCAATCAAGCATGTCATTGACAGCAGCTTCGGCGGCAGCTCTGCGCATACGTTCGCCCTCAGTATTGCTCGTATCGAAGAAATCGGCTGTAGGGTTGGGAGTTGCGTTTCGACGATAGTTGCCGACATTGAAGACTTGAGCATCGATCGAGAGCCATTTGAGGTAACGTTGAGCTGTAAAGAAGATATGTTTAGATTTGCATGCACCTGGATCGATTGATGTTTGTACGTACCTTTTTGTGCAATGAGAGATTTTCCTCTTGCAGGGAGACCAACCATTACCACGCAGATTTGAGTATCCTCAACCTGTACGCCGTAGCCATTAGACTTTGTCTTGAATCGCGTCATTTTTGTAGCGAACGGTCAAAGTTCAAGAGAAGAATTAGGAGCTCAATTGAATGAAAAAAAGGTATAATGAAGGATTAAATGGTGAGTTGCAAAAGAAAGAAAAGAATGATCGCGCGAGGTTATCAACGGCGATTAAAAGGTAAGGAACGGGTGAGTTCGGAGGATAAAGCTATTTTCTGCACCAGGAGACAGAAAATAGATTTCCTCAAATAGTATAAATTGGTCTCTAGTAAGCTCGAGAGACACAAAGTGAATGAGAAAAATATGCAAAGTATATGAACATTGAATGCTTTTGAATGAAGGTTGAAAAGTTGTAAGAATTGGGTGTAATAGAGATTTCGGTGATGGAGTTGTAGAAATGGATTTTATAATTTTAATGATTTTATGATCTTATGATTTCATTCATTCATTTATTCTTCCTTTCTTTCTTTCTTTCTTTCCTTACTTCTTTCTAGAAGGAAAGGAAGATTCAGGGAGGAAGGAGCCCTGTAAGGTGTAAGGGTTTACGAGATTTTGCTAGCAGATACTGCCAGATAGAGTAATTTTTGGGGATTTCTCGAGTGTGCTTGGGCCCTTTCAGCATCGGAAATCCCCTTAGAATCCCCTAAGATCCCTGTCTTCCGAAAAATTCCACTTTGTTACAACAGCTGAACCTGGTCTTGTGCGAGATATTTCCCATCCTATGACGATCCCCAAGAGTTTCAGTTCACCGGTAAAATGTAAAATCATAAATGTACCTAGGTACCTACCTAGTAGTTACCACGACCCCTTCCGGTGAGAAAAAAGTGAAAGGGTAAATAAAGTAAAAGGTAACCTCCAAATCCAACCCCGCACGAGGCTGAGGATCTAGTGGCTCGTTTCTACCCCTCTCTCTGTTTAACATGGAGAGGATGATTTGAACCATGATGATTGGCTACTAAGAGGCCAATTCCCATTATAGCCAGCATCAATCTTTCTTTTCACTCTTTCTCCTTTCTCCTTTCTCCAAAGAAAAATATCCTCAAAAATGCTTCCAGGCAATGGTGGCCAAAGCAAAAGGAGAAGAGATCATTTTTCAGGGGGAAACACTATTGTGGATTTACTTTCCACAGTTCCACCAAAGGATCCTCTTTTTTTCTCCGGAATTTATGCACCATGTTCTCATTAGGACGAAAGAGATCGATAATCATATCAACCACGCCAGTAGTACTGGTCATTTATGGTGCAATGATCAATAAAATAGCATCTAGAACCTGCGACAATATTGTTGATTTCATCCATAGGGAAGGTTTTCTAGCCGTTTCCCAATCACCTCTACCCAATATCAGGGTGAGGCTTAGAAATGCAAGCATAGCATCAGTCTTGTGACTGACTGACAGATTGACTGCCTTGTCTCATTGGCACAAAGCTGTGTCAAACTTTGGTTCTCGAATGCACTTATCTAAGAGGTGGAAGGACAACCAACCACACCGAAAAAATTCTTTTGCCGCAAGTTACTTCAAATGCAGCAAGTCTGGCTGGTTCATTTGTTCCTCACCGCTGATCTTGCCACTTAAATCTAAATATCAATCACGTGGATGAAATGTGGATGAGATCTGAGATTTGAGATTTGGTTGCATCAGATCCATCTCCCTTTGTGTTCATAACCTTATCATCGGGAGGGATGGATGGTCAAACTTTGACTTTGATGAATTATCCCAATCCATCGAAAATTGGAAAATTGCATGCAAGTTTTGAAATAGAAGCTGCTGAAAGGATTATTTAACATACATTCCCGATGGACTCTCCATCTCCTTTTCTTCTCAATGAACCTCCTGCTATAATTCCGTACATATTTGCTTGATCAGATAAAGGCGTGTCTGATGATTTTGGTGGGCTCCACAGTTGTGAGAGGATGAACAGAATCAATAAACCAAAGTGGTAATGCGCAGCCAAAAGTTGAATAAGTAACAAATTTAAGAAGGCAAGTTGTCATTCAATTAGAGAAGAGATGAACAGATATTTTAATGGAGTCGGAATTCTTGTTGAGATGACGATGTATTGTTATTTGCTTTGTTATTCCCTTGCTTATTCCTTATCATATATCGATAAAGATTTGTATGTTCGAAAGGTTGTAATGGAGCATAAAGCGGCGAACTAGTTAACAAATCTGGAGCGTTGTGATGAGGCTTGTGGCAGTATTGTCTACTTTGATTGGTTATCCATGCCCTTCAACCTCTGATATCAGTAAATAATGGAAGACAACCAGCCTTATGATAATTACACGGATTATATCATAATCCTGTTTGTGTTACAGCAAAATGCTACCGGTATATCAACAAAATACGGTACCTACCTAGGTAGATAACAGAATGGTCCATGCTTTTGATAAACTACAGTAGTATTACGTTAAGTTTCGCATATGTTTTGCTAGCCAATCACGCAGTGAATACCTACTATGGGGCAGTTTGGTCTGCCTCTATTGAAAATCCCATGCCAAAACAATGGAACATTTCTAAATGCCATTTTATCAACTAGGTATCTACACACCAAAACTATAATCCAACATACATGATCAGATTATCATGGGAATTCAAGTCCATTCCCCGCCAATGCACCATGCCTTCTGGAGTTCTCCCCTTTGACTCCTCTGTTAACAATTTAGAAGACTCCAGGCTTGGTCTCGTGCATCATAGAGGAGATTAAGAATTGGAAGGAGGGACGTAACACGATGACTTCAACCTAGGTTGGCTACTAATTAGATTGAAAAGAATACGAGGAGCTACAGCAAGAACTCCAAAGACACGAGTCACCATGGGGCTTACACAACACAGACTACAGTACAAAACCCCCTTGTCAATATTCTCTTTCTGATTTTGTAATCTATCTAATATCTTAAGCAGGTACGGTTATCCTCCTCTAACAGTTGACTTGTTCTTCGAAAGCCCAGCGACTTGCACCAAATATTCATTGAAAGCATCGTTGAGGAACTAGAAGCCCAATTGAGATCTATTCAAAACGCGTCAACAGACTTTGCGAAGGAGATCCGGTCTGAAGGGTTAGCTTCGGGTTAAGTCTCCAGACGAGCATCATAGCAAGCATGATCCCGATCCGGGATTCAGGCATTTGAAGGCCCGTTCTCCAGGAGTCGTGATTGAGGTGTCGTATTCATAAAAGAGAAAGAACCGAGAACGTCTTGCGGACTATTATATCCTTGGGTCTAATAAATACAAATTTTCAGGTGGTTGTGGGTTTAGATGTTGAATACTAGAATACTAAGACGGCAATTTTGTCTGTTTGGTGACTAGAGATTATTACAAATGAAGCTGGGGAAAGAACTAGTCACCAAATTAGTTGTCGCGAACCAGATCTGCATACGCCATTCACACCTGCGTTTTATGCTAAATTAATATAGGTTTTTCGTGATAGTAATGGCAAACTAAGCGCTTGCGCGCAAGGGGTCTTTGACTACGCCTTGGAGATTTCATCCCGGAAGGCCTCGCTAGGCCGGAACTGCAGTTATGTGAGCCGATTATCTAGCAATAGACTATATTTGTTGCTAGAGAATGCGGAGGGCAGAGCATCATTTTACGGGCAGGAGATCGGCTCCGTACTGGCTGACATGTCTTGGGCAAGAAGAGATTCAGGGATTCATCACCGCTAAAGGAACTTCGTTGGAGAAATGAAAAACGTATCTCTGTAAACGAGAATAAAGTAGAAGATCTAGAACGATTCTTTGTATAAAACGGATACAATATTTGAGGAATAAGTCCGTCGATTTATTCTAGAGGGAAATATTAGATAGTATTTTCTTGGTCACTCTTTGCGCCCTTGGCTATCTGTATTTCGAACTTGTAAGGGAATAAATAGTAATAACAAAAGGAATTTTATACTTGGAAAATAGATATTTGAAGTTTAATATCATTTGAAAAGTTTCTATATTGATTTGGATAAGTCTTTAATTATCTGGTGTGATGTGATTATTTTATCTGAAGTATTTGTTTGAATAACCCCAGATAAAAGAATACACTAGCTAATCAAATATCTGAATCTAATTAGGCGGTAACCTTAGATAGATCGGTAGGATTCTATTATTGAGATGTTTTTGAGTGGGGTATATTATTAGGTAGGTAGATTGTTAGGTTATGAGGTTTTTATGTTGTAAGATCTTAGATGATGATTTTTGTTAGTTTAGATTGTTCGGTCGGAGGTGAAACTTCTTCTGTGTAGTCTGTGCATATCCTGGAAAATCTGTTTTTCCGATAGGTTCCTCTGACTTCCTCTCTTCTTATGCCCTATTTAATATACCTATGTATATTCTCATCTATAAAATTATACATACTAAGTACTTTGACCTGACATCTATTTTTGCACGATGAGTTTGGGAAATGGTTTCAATGATCTCAGGCTACTCATGTTTGGTTTATTCATCTCTTTCAGTGAGACCACCCGGACGTACAGGCAATTTGTTGTCCCAATCATTTTGCATAAGTAGTTTCATTTCCTGTATTGATTGGAACTAGAGTTTGTTCATGCGGGATATTTGATAATCCAGATTAAATTTTAAGAAAGAGAATCCCCTGGATTAGTAAATCTACTCGGTATTCAAACATTGAAATCTCAATCTAGTCTGTTAGTCCGGACTATTGGATACCCTACTCCTACTTCAGTATCTATAATGAAGGTAGAACATATTGACAGGGAAATTAATGAAATATCTTATTCAAATTCTTTATATTCTTGGAAAAGGTCTAAATATCTTCTCATCATTTCTCATTATCCGCTTGCTAATTATCTCTTTCGTGTACCCTTGAGCCTCTGAGCCTCTGATATATTTCATATATCCCAACCTCTTCCACAATTTATGCCCACAGGTATCTAACCTTCCCCTAAAGTTTTCCTAAAGGCAAAAGAGGTCGAAGTGTTTCCTTTAGCCATATCTTTCCGTGAGAGATACACAATGCTTAAACTAACTTCCTGTCACTTTCCTGAGAAAAACACAAAGAAATATCTAAAAGAAAAGGAACACATCCGCTACGCCTACGCCGCTCGCTATGCCTTTCAAATCTCGCTATACGCTACGCTGTTCGCTATCATAAATCCTTTTCGCAATCCCTACGCTATGCTGATCCCAATGCAATTCGCAATTCTCCTCATCCAGCAAGATATGTTCAAACAAACAAACACATCACCACATATACCTCGAGTCAGTTTATCCATCGATCGCTTCGAAAAGACTCCCCATTTGACCCATTTCCTTAATAACTTGCTCGTTAAACATGACTTTCTCATCCGCTCTTCTTCTACCCAATCCAACTCTATCACCTGCGAATGCTTTAACCTCTCCCCCTACCATTCCATCCTCACCCTTATACCTCGGAACCGGCAACCCCATCTTCCTAATCCCAGCATATTTCAACTCCGGCAAAGACGGCCATTCCGCTCTCTCACACACCTCCCCATCCAAACAAGGATGTACCCAAATCGTCCTCCTCGCCGAAATCCCAGCCAACCCATCTCTAAAAACCCTTCCCAAAAAAGCACTCTTAACCCTAACATAAGCCCCTTCACTCTTCAACCGCATAACCTCCTCTTTATCTCTAATCCGCTGATTCATCGCATCCCTAGCATCATTCTTCCTCCCCTCTCGATGCTTCACCAAATCCTCCTTACACTTCGGAAAATAAGGCGAAGAAACAAGTCCCAAATGAGCACCCTGCACACGCAACCGATCAAAATTCTTACTAATCTCATAAGGGGCGCTTCGATGCGTAAGAGAGGTTCCTGCAGCTGCTGTCATCGAAAATGGATTAGGTGCAGAATGGGTATTGGAAATCCCATGATTGTGTCGTGTAGATGTTCCTGGAGTACTGCTATTTAATCGTGAAGAAAGGATATTTCCTCGTCGGGAATATGCTCCGCCTATTATATATGATGGCGTTTCAGATCCATCTGCTATCTTCTCGCCGCGTTTTCCACCCATGAATTCCCCAATTGGTGTGCTGTAGTTTGCGGATATAGATTTCGGTCTCATGCTTCGTCGGGAGATGTTCGCTCCTATGTTCATTTGTATCTCTTTTTCTAGATTTCCATCTCTTGTTCCCACAGTACTGTTATTCGTACTATTATCGACTGGTCTGCTCAATATTCCTGTTATAGTCGATTCAGTCATTCCTTCACTTGTACTTCCAAATACGCTAGAATCAGGTAATACGTTGAATCCTAACGGGGGAAAATCATTCGCAGATGATAGATATGGTCTTGTGACTGCGGTAGGTGTAATTTCATGCTGACTACCATGTCGAGCTCGACTTCCTGGTCGATGGCGTCCGCTTGATCCACTACCGCGAAGACGCTTCAATGCGATGGTATTTCTGGTTTGTTGGGTGGGTGTTGGTTGCATGGTATGGTTTTGCAGTTTCCTTCTTTTTAGTTTGTTGTTTGTATTATTTTGTTGAGGTAGAGATAGAGATGGAGGGAGAAGGAGATGAGATCGTGGTAATGGAGGGAGTGGACTTGTTTCTTTGTGAATGGATCAAGTAGGTAAGAACTTGCGAATAATATGAGAAGATGCTGTAATTTCAGTATCTGGATAACTAGCAGAGGTGGGAAATTAATCGTATGGCAGTTCTTTAATCGTGGAGTAATGTCCTAGGAAATAGCAAGCAGCAAGTAACCAAGAATAGGTTTTATGGCGAAAATAATATAGATTATTTCGATTTATACGCAAGCCGTATTCTGATAGCCCGTTCCTGTTCTTCCCTCTGCCACTTCACTTCACTTCTCTGGATTATCGATGCAGTGGCTGATGTCGCAGATGTCGCAGATTGAGACGTTTAAGTCTCGTGGTTTTGTATGTGGAAAGGTTAGGAGGATGGGAAGGTTTGGAAGGTTGGGTAGACCCAAGAGTTCGATGTACGGTTTTACGGAGGGTGGTGTGATTATTTAGTGAAGGTATCTAGTGAAGGTTTGGGGGAAGC